TAGACTATCACTCACCCACACCAGATGGAAAACTCTACAGACTGTCGGTTCACACCCCATCACAAGCCAGCAAAACATCCACGAAACAAAGAAAGGTCTGTCACAGCCAAAAAATACACTCCAGACACGTCGCTGGCACTAGAGGCACAGCATGGCCGTTGTCACATAACTATGGACTAAAAGAGCGCAATTTGCGAAACAAACGGCAAAAATAAAAAATAAAAAAAAACAAGACAAGCATGAAGGGCACAGTGAAACCATTCATTTTACTCATTCTTCTTTTGACTCCCCTTTCACCGTGCCTCTCAGGTACAAGGCTCGCCACGTTGATGACGTTGAGCGCGAGCTGCCCCCATCCCCGCGTGCCATAACAGCCCACTTGTACGCTGTGAGAAAGAGGCAGAGTGAAGGGGGAGGGGATAAACACAGGGAGGAGAGATGAAGAGCAGACAAACAAAGAACGATAAAGGGAAACTAAGGGAAAGTATGGAGTGTGGAGTGAAGATGAAGGCAAAAGAGGATAAGAAAAGGCTCAAGAATGAGTTTGTCCTTGACGACAGAGAGGACATACATTGTGAGGATGACGTGGATGAACACATGGAAGACCTAGCTGAGCATTCTCAGTGCAACAATTGCCACGGGGGGTGGCATTGAGCATGCCCGCCATACACCCCCGACAAATGGCATGTCAATTGCAGGCCAAAACGAAAGAAGAACGGTCACCACAAAAGAGCATGCATTCAGTATAGCGCCCATGGCCGCAAAATGGACATATAGTGTCCGGATGCGGAGAGTGTCTGCAGTCAGGAATGGTGGGACAGTCCTCTGCACACATGGATGCAGAAACCGTGTCATTGTAGTGATTGTGACACAGACGATGGCGGCTACAACCAAGTGTAACAGTGTTTGTGGTTGTGCAAAGGAGAAGGTCGCAGTGTTGGTACATTGTCTTGCTGCGGCATGGGGCCAGAGGAATGATCTTTGACATAAAAGAGATTGCGGACGGTTTGTTGTGGCAAGAAAACAGCATCATTTTGTAAGAAATCAGTGACATCAATCATGGCATGGACCATGATGCCGTTGTCCCACAGCTCCCACTGGTCAGCGGCATGTACAATGGCCATGTAATGGCCAGGGCCGTGCACAATGCAGGCAGAGATGTGGGATGGAGGATTAAACCACTCACCTGCTCGAGCATTACGTAGATCAAGTTGACAGTTCCTCATTGCTACTTGTAGGACAGCAATGGTAAAGCCTCCTTCGCTGGTATAATTACAATCCTCTGGCTGTCATTGGGGAAGATCAGCATCAAGCTGAACGGCGATTGCAAGGAAGTCTGATGGTGTATAAAACGGGTGATGGAGAATGTGAAGACAAATATTAGTTGCTGTCAGACCACAGAAATTGGTGAGGTTCTCAGGGTGGTTTGTTGGATGCTGGCCAACAATTTGCAGATCACCCAGATGGTGTTGCAAGCCCAAACTGTGTTGGGTTGTTTGCTGGTCAGTCATTTGCAGATCACCCATGTGGTCTGCGTGTGGCGGAGCACAAAATTGTGATTCATCCGAACAATGCTGGTCAGCCATTTGCAGATCCCCCATGTGGTCTACGCCTTGTGGGGTCAACTGCAATCCGGGCAGATCATGTTCCAATCCCTCAATGTTTAGGGCTGCATCCTGAGTAGGGACTGTACCTGGAGTCGGGGGTGTACTCTGGGCAGCGGCTGCATCCTGAGTAGGGACTGGTGGCTGCCTGCAGGCAGCTGGACTGTCTGCAGAAGGCATAGGAGCGGATATTGCTGTTTGAAACAAAGGAACCGCAACAACCTGTGGAGGAGGCACGGAGAGAATCGGGGAAGACAAAGAAACAGGTTGCTGAACCCCGGACAAGTGACGACGTCGCGGATGTGAAGAGGACAACAAACGAGGGGCTGTGACAAACTGTTTCGTTTGCCGACTCATCGGGAGGCTAAACCCTCAACAGTCTGCAGAATCCCCTAACTGATTACATTGTAAGTGACAATCCACCTTAACCCTGGTTGTGGTTAAGCATCAACGACTGCCCGACAACTGATACGCTGAGGTGGGCACCAACCACTGCCCTCAAGGTACCTGTGACGAAAGTCAAAGCCGACTATCACTCACCCACACCAGATGGAAAACTCGACAGACTGGCGGTTCACACCCCATCACAAGCCAGCAAAACACCCACAAAACAAAGAAAGGTCTGTCACAGCCAAAATTATATATATATCTATCTATATATCGTCAAATAGAACTGCCCGGTAAACCGTAGGCAGAGAGGGAGAAGAGGACAACAAACGAGGGGCTGTGACAAACTGTT